GTGACCCTGGGGCTCTCTATCTGCACCCGACTAACCGAGCTGACCCGACACTAACTGAACTGACCTCGGCTGACCTCGAGTAGCCTCAGGTGACCTCGGGTGACCCGGGTGCGTTAGACCATCTCGGACCGGACATGAGCCGGAGAAGGTGCTCTGAGGTGCTCCTGAGGTCGCGGTTCCTTTGACACCGTTCACTGCCGTTCAGCTTGGTCGTCTGTGCAATCAAATGCAATGGGCAGGAGCAAATGTTATGGGTGAAACATATGAAGCTCACAACCTTTCCGTTTTAAGATGAGCTATGTAAAGAAAACAGCCACATTCATGTTTGCATTTATAGGCACAATTTGCATTGCCATTTGCACTGACAAAACATGATAACAACTTAAGATATAGACATTTGCTGGCGGATTTTAGTAAAAGAATCCAATGGAGACGACAGTCTTCTTAGCTATCCTCTCCCTACCTCACTCGCCTGCATATTCGCGGCTGGAACTCAACTCCCTATCAGAGCCCGGGGAAGGACGCCGGAAGCTCAGCGCAGCCAGTGCAGTGGCCAGCTCCGCCGCGCCTGGCACGGACGGACGCTCGGCCCGGCGCGGCGTGGGAAGCGGGCGAACCGCCACCGGCTCTCCACTTCCTGTCCACCAGCGGTGGCTACTCCGGTTTAAACAGGACCACCATGCAATATGCATGCAATTGACCCTTGACCCGAAGTAATGCTACCCTGAATTCGTCCAGAGTCGGTCGTGACTCTGGTTTATGTCAGTCGTCAGACGTGGTCAATGTTTGACCCTGCGTGGCCTGCCAGCGTCACTGGTCACTGATCTTAGTATAATGCCGATAAAACTCCATCATAGGGTGGTTCGAGGTTTCCCATTGGAGTTACGCAAGATAAACTTTACAGAATTATCTGACATTTGTATGTGCTGTGTTCAGTGGCGTAGCCAGAAATCAGCGAAAGGGGGGGCCATGGTGCTCGAGGGGGCGACTTTTTCCCTTGAGAGGGGCGCCATAGTGAGCTAGTGACAGGGGGTCAGTCTAAAATGTAGCGTCATATATTCATGCATGATTTACTAGGTGTTCCTACGGAACCGGCACGAGTATCAGAACCAGGTTTCGCTGATTTTTCATGAAATCCAATTAATGCAATTTGCAGCTCAGTGTTTTTTATCAAAAGCGATAAAAAATCTTTATGCATATTTAGCACGATATAGGAAACGAGCTCAGGCTACGGACATGTTATTCTCATAATACACACCCATTCGAATTCGAAACGGTAAAATATGCGTTGATCGATTGGCACAATCTTTATTCTTTGCAAAAAAAAAAAACATACAGGTTCACTCACTGAACCAAAATGACCTGTGGACTGCAGCCTCTCAAATATCTTCATTGAGGGCCAGTTCAATTTTGCTACCTCTCTATAAGTACCTATAAGTTACCGATTACCTATTAGTTAACCCGCGCCGTGCTGGTGGCCTGTGCTTTCCGTGTCGTGCTGGGGGGGGGGGGTGTTTTCACGTCCCCCCTATAACTCGGCTCCTGGGCCACGTAGCGACACGCGGTAAGGGGAAATCGAAAGAGCGTCAAAAATAATGACGGAAAGACTTCGTTTCAATTTTTAGGTCAGGTCAAAGGTCAGGTCACCAGAGGTCATCAAAGGTAAAATTGAGTCCATTTCAACAATTTTGGAAACTGCCAACGGCTAACTCGGGAACCAATAGAGTTACAGCGCCGCGGAAAAGCGCATTCGATAGCCCTTTTACAGGCTTCTCTGAATATTGCTCTCGGATTTGATCTCAGGTCAATGGTTAAGCCTGACCAGCCAGAGGGCAAAAATTCCAAAAATAACAGTTTTTATGAAAAGCGTTTTTCTGCAATAACATTTGGTTCAAGGCAGTGACGATATTTCTTTTGCCTGCCTCGTGTTCCTCTCGTCGAGACGCGTCGAATGAACTATACGTTGACCTTGAAAGGTTATTTTAAAAATTTGACCGCAGGTCAAGGTCATGACCTGACCGTAAAGGGCCATTCTGCAGATCAGTCGATCCGTATCGTCGAGCTGACCACATCTGACGTGTTTTCACCGCTCTAGCACGTCTCCATTAAAAGATGAAGCCAAAAAACCGTTTATGGTGATAAAATAGGTGACCGCTTATGACCTGAGATGACCTCAAGGGCACATAAAAGGACACATGTGCATTTTTACGATTCAGTGTGCTATGTTTACCTATGAACCGATGTTTAAGGGGTTTTAAACGACATTCGTCCAAAAGAGGCGCATTTCACTTTTCTCCCACTGACTTGAGGTCCCAAAATTGACCTGACCTTAGGTCACAGACATAAAAAGTCCGAGATGAACATTTTATGCATATTGTTAGTCTTATCAATCTCTAAAAGTTTCAAAAGTGATCGTTCTGTCGGTGTAGCTATAGCGGGTCTTTTAACTTTTTTTAGGTAAGGTCACTTGACGTGCCCTAGTGACCTGACCTTGAACGACCCTCATCTGAAATTTAACAAGCTGTGTAGAAAAGATGTATGAACAGGTGTACCAAAGACAGCGGAGGCGCTGCGCGACGCCGTTTTTGAGATGTTCGCGAGGAAAAAAACCTAAGGGGGCGTACCCCCCCCCCCCTTAGCACGGCGCGGATCAATGGGAGACAGTTGAAATGCTCTTCTTCTGAACGAAAACAACCTCAACCATCGGGATGCAGGTAAATATGACACATTTAATCGGTAAATGTCACTCGTGATGTGACCACTTTTATGTTACTGAGGTCATCTCAGGTCATGAAAGGTCTCCAGTAGATTTTGGACAATAACTTTTGATAGAGATATGTTAGAGCAATGAAACACCCTATATAATTATTTTCCTTCTCGAAAGTATGGATCGACTAATATGCAATATGACCTTTACCGGTTAGGTTATGACCTTTACCTTAGGTCAAATTCTCAAATGCCCTTTTAATGTCAAATTATAGTTCATTTGACTTGTCTGTCTCGAAAAATGGAACACGATGCTGGTTGAACTAATCTCATGCAGGTCTGAGCAAAATGTAAACGTCCTCCGCGAAAACGTATATTTTGAGGCTAAAACGTTTACCTTAGGTCAACTCTGAGATAATCAATAAGAGAGAGCATAAAAAAGAGCTATCGAATATGCGCTTTGCTGCGGCGCTGTAGTTCAATCTCTTTCTGAATCCTGACTTATGCGCCGCTTTGTCAAAAAATGTCAACATCGGCGAAATTTGATTTTCGGTTGTCGCTGGTGACCTGACCTTCGACCAGTTCGACCTAGCCTTAAAATGATCTAAGTAGTTTTGTAATAGTTTTTGACGCTCTTTCGAACGCCGCCTACTGCGTGTCTCGACGTGGCCCACAAGCTGAGTTAGAAGTGGGTGTTCGAACACCCCCAGCAGGTTCAATAAAAAAAAAAACGCTTACGCTGGGGGCGGCACCCCACTGCTAGGCGCTGTCGGCATCGCAATAATGGGCGGCACAGCGCTGAGGGGCGCCACTTGCATTGAGGGGTGGCATTGTACGGTGAAGGGGCAGCGTCGCGTTGAGGGGCGGTATCGCAACGAGGGTGGCACTTACAAGGCTGCCTAATAAGGAACGCTTCGCTTGGCACATCCAAGCCCAGCTCGGCGCCGCCTAGCTGCTGCATCTTGAAAAGGGCCCTTGGTGTCGATGAGAAAGCCCCATTGTCAAAAAATTGCCTAGCGTCAGTGGTTTCGGGGGGGGGGCGACCGAAGTATCCAATTCAGTTTCGCGTCAGTGACTACTGGAGGGCGTCAACGACCTCGGATAGGGCGAATGTGATCTTCAGAAGGGCACCAGGTGCTCTAGAGGGGTGCAATGCTTGGATGGGGTCACTGCTGCCTTCAGTAGGGCATCGGACGCTCTGGAGGGGCGCCATTGATCTCGGATGGTCCGACTGGGATTTTCAGAGGAGCATCAGTGGTTTCAGAGGGGCGCCATTGATCAAGGATGGGCCGACTGAAGCCCCGGTTCAGGTGAGCGCCAGTGGCTCTTGAGGGGCGCCAGCGACCTCGGATTGATGGGGCGACTGTGATCTTTAGAACGGCGTTGAGGGGCGCCATTGGGCATGGATGGGGCCACTGTTGCCTTCAGCAGGGCGCCGCAGGGAGGCTCTGGAGGGGCTTGAGTTTGGGTGGGCCGACTGTAGTCTCCAGGGGCGTTGTCTCGGATGGGGCGAATGTGATTTTCAGAGGGGTGCCGGGTAGTCTAGAAGGGCGCCATTGGTTTCAGAGGGCTGCCATCGATCTTAAGATGGGGCAGCTGTAACCTTCGTTTAGATGGGCGTGATCTTCAGAAGCGCGCCGGACGCTCTGGAGGGGCGTCATTGGGCTTGAATGGGGCGACTTTAGTCTCAAGCGGGACGACTTCAGTCTCAAGGGGGTGGGGCGCTAGTGGCTCTTGAGGGCGCTATTGATCTCGGATAGGGCGACTGTGATCTTGAGAAGAATGCGGGTGCTTTAGAGGGGCGCCAGTGGTTTCAGGGATCGATCTTGGATGAGTCGATTGGGGCAGCTGTGAACTTCAGAGGGGCGCCGGGTGCTCTAGAGGGGCGCCATCAAGCTTTAATGGGGCGACTGTTCCGTTTAGGTGGGTGCCAGCGGCTCTTCAGGGGCGTCATCGACCCTGGAGGCTCGGAATATTCTGGTTTCCGGAGGGGCGCCCTTCAACATTTGGGGGCTCAGGTCGTATTTGGGGGTGCCCTGGAGATTATTTAGGTGTCCAGGCACCCCCAAAGAGATATTGAGTTCGATCCCTGCCTGCACATCACTTTTTAATTCATGCTCTCTCTGTAAAACGGCATCAGCCTAGTCGGCGCTAATTGGGGCGCCATTTGGGCGGCTGGGCGGAAAGGGGGGGCCATGGCCCCCATGGCCCCCCCCCCCTGTCTACGCCACTGGCTGTGTTTCACGCGGAACTCGGCTCCCCCTTCCCTCACGCCACGGCTACCTACCAATCACGTGATTTTTCGGCACGGCCGTGGCTGGCACGGACCGGGAATTTCGTTGACGCCCGTCGTCCGTCGCCGATTAGACGTGGGAGTCGGGCTCTTCCACCGCCACGTCCGCCAAAAAACCACGGAGGACGCCCCTTCCGCCGGCCGCCGGCGGTGTGCTTCATGTTTCCGCCGCCAGGTGGCAGGCAGGTCGGCCAGCTGGCGGCCGCCGCTCGACCGTCCCGGCGCGTGCTGAGCCAGTGCGGCGGTGACAGGCGCGTGGTGTGGGGTGTGCGGTGCGTGCGGAGGCGTGTCTTTTGTCTTCAGGAGAACTGCCTGATCTGAGGTAAGCGTGTGCGACTGAGTGACGTCTGTTTTTTTTTTCTGGCTCGGTTCCACCCGTCATGAGATCCGTGTGACCGCACTCAGTGGACGGTATCATCTGATCGGTCCGTCGTCTCCGGCCCCGGCGACCGTCACTAGTCGAGCGGAATGGCTCGACAAAAACACGTCCGTCGGCGACCACCGGGCACGCGAATTTAGCCGCGCTCGACTGACGTCCCCGCCTCTGTGCTGCCGGCGCCGCGCTTCGAGAGCCGCTGAGCTCTCAGTCTTATTCCGTGATCGTCCGCAGCGGCGGGACGGGACCTCGCTCCGTCTGTGACTTATCCGTGTCTCCGTTTTCAGACTCCAGCCATGCTCGTCGACAGGAAGCGATCGTCGCGGCCGGCGTCGGTGGTGGTGTCTGACTTTGGTCACCTGCGCACCTTCACCGACCTGGAGCGGGAGGCGCCTCCGATGCCGGCGCCGCGGCAAAGCAGAGAGGTAGGTCGGGAGCTGGGAGTCAGACAAGAGCCTGAGAGACGCGACACGTGTGAGAGCCGAGAGGTGGTGGGGGCTGCAGAAAATGGGAGATAGGCTATCTGGAATTTGGGCCAGATACGGCCTTTCGCAAAGCCGCCGAACGCCCTCGCGATTGTGCGTGATAAAAGGTGATTCAGAGGTTGTTTGATTTTCCGTCCTTGCGTGTTAGTCATGTTGATTTGTCCTGATGCAAAATTTATATTTGTGTGAGAGAATCGGTCCATCTATGTTCCAAAAGCCCATTGAAGGTCACCATAGCTCTGAATCATCAACCCGGGGACAATTGCTGGACAGGCCATTCGTTTCACAAAATACCAACGGGAATATTAGCAATCAGTTTTACAAACATACAGATAAACGGCAGCTGCGGGACACCTCACTCACGGCACTGTAAATCCCAAACACCCCTTCGAAAGCTCACTCGCGGCGGCAGCTGGTCACTGACAGAATGGCACAGTCCCTCAGCGGACCGGTCACACGCGGCCGTCGTCCCGCCCTCCCGATGTTGACTCAGGTGACAGTGGCACCCCAGGTGCAGCGGCGCGGCGGGCTGCCCTCCGAGGGCCATTGTGCGTCAGTGTGCACACCGCCGGCGTTGGTTGTGATGTATGTCCCGCCGCACAGTGCGGCCCCAGTGTCGTTACGCACAGCCGGTGGGCCGTTTGCACGGGTCCGAAGTCGCTGCCAAAGCTAACGCGGCTCGGCCAAGAAGTGCGTGTCGGGTGGTGCGCGGAACGGTGTTGAGACGGTTCGTGTTTGGTCAGGTCGGGCCATTCCGGACCCGCTCAGGTGTTATTACCTCATCACCTGGGTCCTGCCGATACCTGTCGGGACGTGCTCCTTTGATCCGGGCTCCCTCTCCCGCTCCCCGCCCCTGGAGGGACCGTCCCACCTCACCTACCTCTCAGAGGGGTGCCCCTGCCTCTTTGATGACTTTAGCGTGTAATGCGGTTACGGCGCACAAATACAACACCTGTGCCGTGTGGCGGAGGAGGCTTCCTGGAATTGGGAGATCGAGCACGAACCAAGAACATGCGCTCTCTGATGAATAACGGGAAAAGTGGAATGTCTTTGTTTATGTTTACTTTATAAGACTATTCCTTAGAATGTCCTTTTTGCAAGCTATATGCTCTCTCGCTAAGCCAATTTGCAACGGTAGTCGAGTACATGCTATCCAGTATCCATAATCCAATACCAGGACAGCACCGCTGAAAAAGACGCGCAATGGAATAACGGGACATTTCGAAATAATACCATTCGACTGAAATAACCACTGGAATTCCTTGGCCGCGAACGTGAGCAAACCTGCAGTGCCGGACTGACCAGGTGTTCCCGTGCAGGCGAGATAAGACTGCAACTCAGGCCGGATTGGTCACTTTACTACAGGCTCTAAATCGCGCGCAGTCGCCTATTTCCCCGTACGCCGGTCGTTGTACACAGCGTAAGCACCGAGGCGCCAAGCTGTGGTGATCTGTAAAACCATCGTTCGTCCCACCGTGGACATCTTTATGGGGGGTTGTTGCCATACTCCATCGCTAGGCGCGCCCGACCGGCCACCCGCCGCTCTGAGTCGCCGACAGGGACACCGGTCGATTGACTGGTAAATTTACCAGGAGCAGGTCGGTAAATACCGGTACTGAATGTCACTGGCCCCCTGCTGTTACGGTCGGTAGGTCGGCGGGGAGGGAGGGGAGGGGAGGGGAGGAGGCATTCCTCGCTCCCTCCCTCGGTCGGGGGTAGTTCACGGAGCGGGGAGGGGACGTGAGTGACTCACGGGCCGGTCTATAAACGCCGCTGGTCTGATGAAGCGGTCGATGTGGCCGGCTGGCGTCGAACGGAAGCGGTGGAGGCATACCCTGCGGTGGTGGAGACTGGTAGGAGCGCATCCCCAGCCATTACCCACTTGAGCGCGTTAGCGCGGCACCCGGTTGAGTGAGTTCTTGACTCAGCTGTCTACGAGCAGCGAGGGGTGCGGCGGGGAGGGGAGGGTCGGCCCGACCCCCGAGGACGCTGAGGACCGGCAGATGGAGGAGGACGCGACCCTGGAGCATTGTGAAGGACCCTGGAGGACTCTGGAGGACGCGACAACCTCCGTCTGTCAGCGCCCCTTGACCGGACGACGGTCGTCCCGTTTGTTTGGCTGTGGTGTGTGGGTGCCCACTCAAGCCGCATACCATTGTCGGTGGGTGACCCCACCCCATTCACTCACTCCACACCCCATCGCGGCAGCGTGTCTCGTTTAACCGAGAGACCGGTCCGAGCCACACTGCAGCTGGCCGATGATATGGCGCGTGATCCATATCTATTCAGTGGGGCCAATGTGGAGCACCCGACAGGAAGGGTGGGGAGTCGGGGACGGGAACCCACACAGCTGGAGCAGCTGCTCTGTCTGATAGGCCGCCGGCTGCGACGCTCCTCGTCCGGTCCACAGAGGAAGCTGTGGTGGCCCCGGCGGCGTCCTGTGAGGCCCGAGCTGTTGTGTGCTCGTCCAAAGCTGACGGTCCTCAGTAAACACTGCCCGGCCAACCGCCGCGCGCCGCTTCATGGCTTTGTTTTCGGCGTCCGCGGGGCGATACAGTGGTGATGGAATGTGCTGTGTTCGGTCTCTCTCGATACCAACAGTCCTCACTGACCCAACCGGCGCTATTACGACGCAGGTGGTGTCCGATAGGCCGGCCGGGTGCCGCGGTGTTGTCGCCGCCGCCCCAAACAACGCTCCGCCGTCCATGTTTGGCCGCGGCGGCGCGCGGTGCATTCAGACACAATGATTGCGTGTCAGTACCGTGTCAAACCACCGACAGAGTGGGCTCCGGGGTGTATTTACCGACAGAGTGTAGGAGGAGCTGGGCACGCACACCGCACCCCGGTGAGATAACGTGCGGAGTGTGTAATCTGTCGAGTTGGCTTCACACACCCCGGTAGAGGCCACCGCTACAGATGGTGCAGGACTGCCAACCGTGAGTGGGATATACAATGATGCTGGATGGTAGGTAAAACAGGGAGCTTTTTGGCGCTATTTACCGACGGTCTAAGTGTTTTATGCTGACAGATGAATGATGACATATAAGTGCACTCCTCACCATATGAAGGCTCTTCCCGAGATAGACGTTCCTTGGCCAGGTGTCCTTTATATAATTCAGTCTTTTGCCATAAGGTTTCTCGCTCTTGCACTTAGCTGAGTAAACCTATAGGTGGAAACTGCAAACTTACAAATCTTTCCCTGTTTGCATTATGTCCAGGTATCGTGAGATTGATAGTGCCGACTAAAGTGCACACCCGCGACCTTTTGAAGGACTCGGTTGCAGAGCAATCAGCGTTTACATCAGTGCAGAGTTGAATCATATATGTAATCACTCTGCTGGTTCAGTTACCTTATCTCGCCACTCGATTGGAGGATGACTAGTTGTATCAATCGCAATGTACTCCGACCGAGAAATATTTGTGCAGCGCGCAAAGTTTATCCTCAGAGTGATCAGTGACCCTTCACAAATGACCTCTAAGGCCCACGTGTTTATGTGATCAAAGAGTGCGTTAGTTTTCGGCGGTGATGCATTTGAAGGCCAATGCAGAGAGACGCCTCAGAGATGACAAACTCCAGTGCCTCCTCTCTATAGTCTCGGCGGCTCGTCAGTCTTCCACTGAATTAATCCACCCCATGCAGCGTTCATTTCCTCTCTGCAGCAAGGCTTCACTGGCCATCGGCACTATCAGACCTCTGATTGCACCGCACGATGTCACACGCTCGGACAGCTCGTCTTGTCATCCCTGCGTGCAAATTCGTGCACGACAGATGACACTTGTGAGCTGTCGACGTAACAAAATTAGCCATCCGACCCTGAATAGCACCGCAGTCGCCTGCGTTAATCCAACACTAATTAGTCGCTTGTTCACGGGTGTTAGTTTCTAATTTGTCATTTTTGCGCAGCTGTTTGTATAACTTCCGGCCGGGCTGGGTGATTCTGGACTCGATCGTGCAGACGACGTGGCTTTATCGTCAGCGTCCCGCCGAGACACGTGTCTCGGACCTCCGGGGCCATGTGTGCCGCGTCCCTCGCCGGCGCGGTGGGCTGCTGTTCCGGTCAGCTGGCGTGACCTCTGCCCCACGCCCTCCCGCCCCTCCCCGTCCGCCCGTCTCTCCGATCCGGCTAGGTCTGGGCTCGGGCGCTGCGCCGGATGACATCTGCTGAGACAGAGCGTCTCTGCTCGTTCGGCCGGCTGGCTGTTGTGATAAAAAGTGCCGACTGGGTGAGTCACGCGCCCGGAGCAGCAGACGCCGGCCGGTCCGACGCCGGAGGGGGGGGGGGGGTCGTTCCGGTGACCTCGGAGGGCTGGGGGGCTCCTAACACGAGGCCTGGGACTTGGGAGCGCGGATGTCTGCGTCTGCGATGTGACGTTCGCGATTGCGAAGACCACGTGTTCCGCTGCTATTGAACGAGTAACAATTCATTGAATCGACTCGTGTGCTGTCAGGGATCTGTTTAATATTTCTGACAGGAATTTATGAAGCAATAAGCATTGTTATGAATGATGACATCAACCCAATCGTAAATATTCGTAGCTTTGTCAACCCAAATCCTATCAGCTGATTCTCAGACAAACGATAACTCGTATATCTGAGAATCTACATTGTCGTGGAACTTTTTCCGTCACCATGAACTATTTTGGTTGGAAATATCACATCAGGCGACATTGTTCAGCTCGTAAACCCCTTACGGCTTATGTTTGCCTCTTTCGCGATTTTCTATCTAATCAACGAAATACGACTTATTCTTCATGTCCTTTCCGAAGCTTTTACGTCTTCTTGTTCGTTCATCCCACATACACGACTAAAGCATAAATGTTGGTTTTACCGTCCTCTTTCCCCATTACCATCCATTGTCAAGAGCTGCCTGTTGTGTGGAGTGCATTAGTGAGTGCAGAAGTACCAGGGCTCTATCAGTACACAGCCCCAGGAGCCAGGC